TTCTTGATGCCTACGTGGAGTTTGCAGCAATTTTTTCTTTGTGCCCTAAGAGAAAAATATGTGTTGTTACCTAGATTTGAACTTTCAACCTTCTGAGTGGGAGGAGAGTGTCTTCATCACTAGGCTACCATGCTGCACTTTGATACCTAAACAATAGAATTTTAACAACTTAAAGTATATTATATAAATATTGTACTGAAATAACAATGTATCAAAAATTATATTTACACAATAAAAAGAACCCCTCACCCCACAATTATTACCATTATTGACAACTGTAGATCCAGTAGCATCTTTTAATTACATCACTCTTCGTTGTACCCTACTATGTTAGCACATCAAAGGCCATTGATGGTCATCCTCCTATCTAAAGTAACAGATATGAACTCATGATGAGAAAAAATCTCTAGTGCTTTTTTCTTAATCCTGCAGAGCTCCACCCTTGTGTCTGCTTTGTGTTTTATTCCCATTGTCTATTCTGACTAGGGATTCTGTGAATTGGAGATCAAAATGTTCAGAAGTCATCAGATTGAAGAAGTTTGTCCTAATGACCTTAGAGAGCATTGTAGTGCGAAGGGGCTATTCAGAACTCCTCCTTTTTTAGATGGTTAATTCCTATTTCTCATTTGCTGATTTTATTGTTATTTGGAGGATGTGACATGTCAGTTACATAGAGATACAGGGTTTTTTGGGGAGAGATAATTAACTTTCTATTTATAGTTTTGTGTAGGATTGATCCTCATACTGGGATGAATCATTTATTTGACAATTTTAACTGCAGCTTTATTTGCTAATGTTCCATGAATAGACAAATATGCCTGAGAACGATAGCTGCTTTCTAAAGAAAGAAAGAAAATAAGAAAGAAAGAAAGAACAAAAAGTAATCTTTCCGTTTATTCTTTCAGAACATCTACTTGTTACTGCATATTCACTGAGTGAATATATTTATGGATTGGGGAGTTACAAAGACTCTTATGATAAGTTTCTCATTTGGACTTGGACATTAAATCAGATTAATATCAGCTATGGTTTGCAAGTTGTATTTTTGTACTTTGTATGTACTTTGATTCTCTTTGCATATTGTAAGCTCAAGCATCTCAACCATATCTTCCAACCTCAGGATTATTTCTCCAATGCAATATGCTACAAAAATTTCCTCAGAAACAAGCATAGTAGCATCACACCTACATTTTGAAATCCATTATCAACATAAAAGTAATCTCAAATAGCATTTTTTTTGCCTGTGACAACCTGAACTCAGTTCCAATGATGATGACAAGGATAATACATTGCATGGGATGGATTGCAAGATGATTGCAACTTTTGAAATATTGAAATATTACTTTTCCATGCTCTAAATCACCAGGAAAACCCAAACAAGCCAATTAAATAAAAAACATTCAGGGGACCCAACAGTTTCAGAGTTGTAAGGAGAGACAAGTAAGAGCAAGAATGAGGAAAGAGAGAGCAGGGACATTCCTGTATAGCCAGTAATTAAGAGGAAAGCGAGAAAAAGGAACAAAGGGAGAAAACTACCTGCTGTTGTTTGCCAACTTAACAATAGAATAAAATTAGAAGGCAAAGTGAGCACTCATGCTGTGGTAATATAGCTGGGAGCTTGTATCTTAGAAATGGTAACATAAAAATAGTTTGAAACTTATTTCCTAAAGCCATATGCAGCGGCTAGGGATGCATTTTACAGATGCAAGTAATATTGTGTGTACTTAGTTGGTATAATCCATGGTATAAGCATTCCGCGGGTAAGTAACTCTTTCACTCAAGGACTTGCTTGATTGGCTACAAGAAGAAATACTAGCAAACTATCCAAATCTGCCTTTGGATTCTGGAAGTCATAGCCCCTTTCTCATGCACAGAGGATGAGGAAGAGCAGGAAAGGTCTTGGAGAACAAAATCTATAAGCAATGGCCCAACAGGACAAGGCTTGAAGGTTTGACCCCCATTAAGAAAATACTTGTTGGCCCAGCTCTGATTGGAATTCATCAGAGTATCCTCCAAATCATCAGCCCCAGGTTAGACATCAGAGAGCTAAAATATATCGAGAATGTGAGATTGGATAGTTCCCGTGCTCCTGGAATACACTGACTTTCTGAGCTGAGTGAATGCAGTCCACCATGATTAGAACAGAGATTTGAAATCTGGACCTAAAGCTTACTACCTGGATGTGAGTCAGAGCTGGGTTCATCTTTGATGTGCTTCACTAAACAGCTGCCTGAAATCCTGCAAAGCTTGTAGTCTGCCTTGATATAGTTGACTTTGCCTTGACTTAATGCCATTTTGGATTTGGAATTTTAGGTTGATTGGCTCAGTTCAAATATTGGGCTGTTGTTGGACCAAGGCAGCCTTTGCATAATTGCCTACCTATTGTAGTTTGTAAATTTGTTTGACCTCCCAGCTTTGTTGTCTATTTATGAGAGGTTAGATAGGAAAAGGAACACGGTAATCTTACTTTCTATGTGCAATGCTGGTTAGTTTCTGAGTAACTGGCTAAGGAAGAAAAAGGGCTTTTGTGGCTAACCCTCCACTCCATATTAATAAAGACTGCCTTATAAATGGAGAGATTAAAAGGCCTCTATTATAAACTAATGCACTAGAAAGAAATTACTATGTATACTTCTAAAAAGCAGTCTCTGTTCCTAGGGTTGGCCTGGGGCAAGTCTAAGCATAGCACCTGAGCACAGGTGTCCTCCAGCTAAGTGAAATGGTCAAATGCCATATAAACATATTAATCTTTCCTAGGAACTCAGCTGTTTGGTCTAATTGGAATGTTTCTCCAGTGGGTTTACTCTGTTCCTCATGGGAACAGTTTTTTTCTTATCCCTTTTTGAGGTTGAGAAACCAGAAGTGCTTAGCTTTGAGTGGTCTTTCTTATTAATAACTGTTATAGTTCAAATTTAGCATTTCTTTAGGAGCTTTTAATTAGCTGAGATGAAGAGATACACATTGGTTTGTGAAATAGACCTTTTGTATCCCACAGTGATGAGTTCATAAAAGTTTAGATTTTTTCAGACATAGTTAATTGATTACTAAATACTGCTTGCAATTGAGTAATAACTGTCTCTGGATATGATCATTTAGAGGCAGATGTCAACTGCAACTTCCAAGTAGTCCTCAACAGTAACCCCACAAAATACATGACAGTAGTTGCCTTTAGAGGTGGTAATAGAACATGAAGTGGTGAGATTACAGTGCCTTGAACCATGACTCAATAATTGACCCAATAATTATTGTCACTGGATTTAGGGATGGCTTAAACTATCACAGAAAGTGTTGTTCAACAAAATGTTGTAACTGAAGGCTGTGGTCTTAGGTCTCCACGTAAGGTATGATGCACAAATTGAGGTCAGGAAGACTTAGTATAGAGTTGAAATATAGCTAGTTTCAGACACAAACATTTTAGCAAATGAAGATAAATATATGTGTCTCAGGGTAATGTTGATGATCCAATCTGAGTCGGTCACTGGGATCAAAAGTTTGTTCTTCCAAGCTTTCGGGCTGGAGCCCATCATCAGGGAATTTCTCTCTCTCCAGAAGATACACCCCTGCCACCAACCCACATCCACAAATTAGGCCATGCCCACAGAACCAGTTAGTGGTCCCTGGAATCTAAAATTATGAATTTGGTGGTCCCTGAGGTCCAAAAGGTTGGCGACCCCTGTTCTAAAGAGTTTCCCAATGATGGGCTCCAGCACAAGTCCAAAAGTTTATTCTTCAAATAAACCTCTGGTCCCAGTGACAGACTCAGATTGGATCATGCAACAAACCTTTTAATTTGGTTGTGTCCTGGTGATTTCCTTTTTTCTTGCATGTTTTCACTTTTTGGCAAATAATATCCTGTCATTTTCACTTGAAACTTTTAAGTATTTTCAACTTCCTTGTAAACTAGTGTTTCATTTAAGAAAAAAGAGTCACAGAAAGGACAGAAAGAGACCTAAGCCCATCCCTCTGTCACATAATGGCAAATTCTGATTTGTGGAATCATTGCATCCTTGAGGGTTTGTCTTAGAGGAGCATGTGGAACAAATCTGTACAATAATCTGGGAAAATAGTTACGGTATTCTGTTCCCAAATAATTTGGTTCAAAGTAGTATGTACCAAATATTTCTGTTATCATCCATATGTATATATCTATGGAATGTATGAATAATAATATAAACTGAATACCCAAATCTAGGTGGACAACTTGCCAAGTGTTGTGAATCTAGCCTTGAAAATTATTGGCAACAGGCATGCTAATGAAACTATTTAAATAGAATGAGCTGCCTAGTTGTTAGACTTTAAGGAACAGCTGGTGTTTTCAGTGTAATAGGTAACAATGATAGCAAAATATCACACCTTTTCTTAATTTTTGGATAATTCTTTTCTACTGGAACATTTTTTTTTACAAATGTAAATGTTGCCTTTAAAGTAAAAGCGTATGGGAAAATCAGGTCCTATGTATGTCTCATTCAGTTTCACCCTAGATTGCTAGTCATGTTTTAAATTGTGCAATGAATTTCAGTGAAGCCAGTCAAACCTGTTTCTCCAAGTGCTGTCCTTTCAATTCAACTTGCAGATTCTGAAATTCACATGATTGTAAAAGGCATTTCAATAGGTTTCTTTCTTTTCTTAGTGTGAGAGTTACTTCATATAGCGATTTGTGGAAATAGCAAAGAAGGGCCATCTAATTAGAATGGTCTTCATTTCTTCACTTCACATTTTGTGTTTTACTGCTGTTTAAACCAAGAGATACCATTTTAGGTTTGCATTTGTATTAGTCAGACTATTTTTTAAAACGATAATTCCTGTAAGTCAAACCCTTCCTCCCCCTGATCTTTAGAATACAACAGAAAGGTAATTATTATTATTATTATTATTATTATTATGTAATGTGGCTTTTACAACGCCAGCACATAAATGATAAATGTAAATGATGAAAATGGAATGTATACCCATTCTGGCTAAATCTTTGTTTTGCTTCTCTCTTTTTTCTTCCCCACCAGGATTTTGGCATATATTCACAGGCTCCTAGAAGACAATAATGAAACCTTTCAGTGGCAGGTGATAAATTCCACATTTTTTTTCCTAAGAGAGTACTGCCGTACTTCAGGATTTTCTGGGTGAGGTATGTAGGTTCTATGCATTTTTGTATGAGAACTATCTATCAGGAATGAAATTTTTGAGATCAGAATATATACCTGTTGACTTCCCATTCACTCACTACTGATAGCACCCACCACCCTTTCCCCTCCAGGTTTGAATTGCTTGCCAGCCAATTTTAAAATGTGTTTTGACCTTTAACGGATAAATAGTAAATTATAAATGGCCACAGACCATTAAAACTGAAACATTTGCTGCCGGGGCATGCTAATAAAGATTACTGTAGTCTGTTACAATTAAGTAACACAAAAACACTTAAGTTAATATGACTTCTGAAGATTTTTCATTTTGTACAAAATACAGATTTGGTAGAAGATAAATTGAAAAGGTCACACATATACCCTATCACTACTCCCTTTACTTCACTTTGCCAGCCCATTTTTTGGAGTGGAAAGGCCAGTGAGCACACTTCCAAAGAAAACATGGGATTGCAGTCATTGACCTTTTCCATTTGGTAAGAGTATATAGAAGGTCCAATGCCAGAGCTTCAAAAATGGTAGATGTTCACGCTTTGCTTTGCAACAGGCTAACTATCAAAGGAAAAAAGAGACTACAGATATTAGACAAGGGCCCTGGAGTCTTCAAAGTAGATACCCACTAGCATTATTAGCCTTGGAAAACACCTTGTTTTTCTCTGTTAAAAGTAGTTGCGATAGACTTGGCTTTAAAATAATTAGCCTGCTGTTATCATATATAATTTGAGCCGAGAATACATTTAGTTCAGGGGACAAAAGTTTTGTATTGTTGAACCTTTCTTCCTATTTTCACAGTCTTAAAACTTAGCTTGCAGCAGAAAGTACAATCTGATGGTAATAGCCTCCCACCAGAATCTAATTTAAGTTTGCAATCTGTTGTCTTGTAAGGTACTTCACATTTAATGGTGGTAATGTAAATTCAGGAGAGCTACAACTTTGGAGATTTTAATTTAGCTTGTAATTTTCAGTAATGTTAATAAGAAAGAAAAAAACAATAACAAAATACTAAGTGAAGAGACGATTTGTTAGGAAGCAAGAGCTGGGAAAACCAATAGATTTCATTTATAATTAATATATCAGTATATTGTTCTATAAAGATTTATCACATAAATAGCTCAGATGTCATAGCAATAAAATGAAGAGCTGTAATCTAGAACAGTGGTCACCAACCAGTGGGCCGTGGCCCACTGGTGCGCCATGGAAAATTTTTGGTGGGCCACAGAAGAAATGGCCCCCAAAAGCAATTAATCTGGGCCGCGCAGTTCTTGCGCCTCCCGGCTCTCCGAGGAACCCTGGAGACAGGCCCCTGAGATGCATGCACCAACCAGCTCCTATACCCGCCGGCGGTGGCAATAGCAGTCCCCTCCCCCAGCGCCCGCTGTCAGCTCTCCCCATTAGTTTTCTAGCTTTGAATTGCTCCCAGCTGTCTCTCTTTCCTCCCCCCGTGTGCAGGCAGGAAAGGAAAGGGAGATGGAGCCGTGCACAGCTCTCCCCTTTTCCAGCCCTTGCTGCCTCTCCCAACATCGAAGCCTTGGAAATGCAGGCAAAGAATTACCAAGAGCGGCAGTCCTTCTGCAGGCAGATGCCTGCTGAGAAGCCTCTGGAATAGCAGCCAAGGGGCGCTGCCCTCCAAGGAGAGCAAAGCCCCCTTTCTGCCTCTGCTTCTCCCAGCAGCAGTTGCCCCAAGGCCCCTCAGCTCCAACACACACACACACACAAACACACACACACACACACACACAGACAGACACACCACCTGCTCTTCTGTCTCTTTGGAAGGTGCCAGGTGGGGGGAGGCTTCCAGCCCGGAACGTTTTATTTTGCTATCATTAAGCATTTACATTTTTGTTATAATTAAATAAGTAAGTGTGTGTGTGTGTGTGTGTGTGTGTGTATCATGTATGTGTGTGTATGTGTGTGTGTGTATGTGTATATATATATATGTGTGTGTGTGTGTGTGTGTGTGTGTGTGTGTATGTGTATGTATGTGTGTATATGTGTGTGTGTGTGTGTGTGTGTGTGTGTATTTTTTCTTAAGTTTTTGCGGGTACTTACATGTATGTTATTCAGCTTTGTTCGGGTATTTTCCCACGTCATTGTAGTTGTGCTTTTAAAGTTGTAGCAACGTTTCAGCAGAATCTCATCTGCCATCATCAGGCTTCTGTATTGTGTTCGTCTGTCTGTGTCAGTCAGTCTGACTCACAGACGAACACAATACAGAAGCCTGATGATGGCAGATGAGATTCTTCCGAAACGTTGCTTCAAGATATTGAAGCAATATCTTTTGTTTGTAGGAAGAAACATAATAAATTGGTCTTCTATTTTCATTTTAGTTCTTTTTAGCATTTGTTGATTTTTTTTTTTCACAGTATTGAAAATCATACACCTGTAATATGTTGTAACAACTACAAAAAGACCAATATTCCTTATTACAGAAGAGTGGTCAAAACTGAGAAAGGGTAGACTGTGTTAGTTCCTTAATAAATTAACTGCAGAACTGAGATTCAAAAAGCAAACATTTATTCTTTTTCCTTTATGAATTTTGAATGTGAAAGCTCCAGGGAACTGTGCAAGACAAAACACCATCCTTTTCTTTTAATTACAGAGGCCATTTTGTTTTAAAAGCCTGTTTTGCTAAATAGATTTTACTTCAACGTTTATTTTAGACTACTACCTTTATTTAGCCAATAGACATATAGCAATATGCCTCCTTTCATTGAAACATTTCATCTTGGAAATGTATTAACCTAAGAGAGACTTTGAAATTTGGGGGGCTGGAGGGAAGGAGGGAGGGCGCAGCACTGCTTATTTTGCTTTTTAAAATTGTTTTACCTCAGATATATAGCCAGAATGTATCCTGACCAGTATTTACCACTTTCTAAATAATTAAACAGTCCAAAAACTGTAGTAGTATTAACATTTTCTTTGTCCCCATAACTTTTGAGTGGAGATGAGAAAATCTTTAAAAATTAAATAATGTGTTTTGCTATTTGAACAGTGTCCATGGCATATTAACAGGCTCTGAGTCTATATCATCTCCAATGTACTAGAGCTGCTTAGGTCAGAGTACAGTCCTATTATCATTTTATATTGGTGGCTAAAGCATTTTCATTATTTCCTCTGTTTGTATTCCCAAACATAGTACTACACAGGGAACCATTATCTTAAAATCTTTGTTGTAGCAAACATATTTCTTCTTGCATTAATGCGCTTTTCTCTTAGCTGCTTTTATTTTTCATTCAGCATAGATTACCGTAAGATTACTTTGTAGAGTGGGGGATAGAAAATGTTTTTACATATTGTATATTTATGTCCATTATTTATATTTTATGTATGGTTCATGGTAGGTTTTAACTGAACAGCATATTGTCTCCAGTTGCCCTTCTGAGAGCAAGTTTTAACATGTCTAGGGATGGAGTTTCTGTGTTCTATCAGTCTAGAATGAGTAACTTCTAAAACTGCTTCATGCTTTTTCTCACATAGTGATCTCATGTTCTTGAGGATGATCTGTCACAGAACAGATTTTTACAGCTTTAAAAAGCTGAGGTGAAATATGGTTGCTATTGAAAAAACAATGCCTGGTAGTTCTCAAATTTTATCTTTCTCTTTCTTCCCTAATTCAAGATAGAAAATGAGTGAAGACTAATCCCCTAAACACACTAACCTTGGGATAATTGAATACTGTGGAATTTCTGAAAAGGAGACTAGGATTGTCTCAGATCTAGTAATTGCAACTAAGAGTTACACACACACACACACACACACACACACACACACACACACACACACACACCTCTTTTGATACAAATTAACAATCATAAATATTTAAAACTAAACTTTTGTGCTTCTGTTTAGGATTGTTAAATAGGGAGGCATATATTCTTTGTTTTTTTGAACTTGGGAAGTTTGGAAAGGGAGTAACATTTTCAAGAAAACATTTAAACAGGTGAAGGAACTATTCTTTGCATCATTCATAAACTTTGTCGGAAAGAAGAGCATGGGGTAGCTTTTCTCAAAAGTTTGCTATACTGACTGTTATTCATACATTTGGAGGATACTAGTTTGGGAAAACCTGGCATATAATTTTATCAGGGCTAGTGGAAAACATTTTATTGTTTAAAAAGAAGGTGATACTTCTCAACCAACTGCAAACAATTTCAACTAAATTAATCAACAGCTAGTTATCAGGCTAGGGTCTGTGGCAAAAGGAGAAATATAGAAATGAGAAATCAGTCAAGCAGCATAGACCAGTGTGTAAACCAGCCTCTGCATTTTCTGTATCAGATTTGGAGAGCACATCTTTTCTCCTTCTGTCCTGGCCACTTTTTACAGAGCCTCGATTGAGAGCATTTTAACAAACTGCATCACTGTTTGGTTTGGTGGCAGCAGTGCCTCAGATAGAAAGTCCATTCAGAGAGTGGTAAGGACAGCTGAGAAGATTATAGGAAGGGTTAGGGTTAGGGTCATTTTCTGTTATTCAGGATACTGCTTATAAGCGCTATGTGCTTAGAGCTCAAAGCATTGTTAGAGCCCACACACACCCACTACATGGTCTATTTCTGTTGCTCCCCTCTGGGAGGAGGTTTCTAAATATTTCTACCAGGACTACCTGATTCTTTTAACAGCTTTGTTCCCTTTGCCATCTGTCTGGTAAACTTGCAAGGTTCGTTTTCTTGCCATGTACATGTATACATCTGAACTAGTCTGTGTTGTTTCTCTGTGTCATATAATACATGTGGGTATATGGTATGTATGTATGTATGTATGTATGTATGTATGTATGTATGTATGTATGTATTTACTTACTTGGAAAGTTTGATAGGCCAAGCAATAGGCCTAGCAATAGAGACAGGAGAGAGGAAGGACTACTGGATTGAGTAGAAAAAGCTCACACATACTAATAACATCTACTGCCTGAGGCTAGGGCCTCATTCAATAAGGTTAGTTTTGCCTTGTGGCAGGGTGAGTTATCCTAATAGACTTGGGACGGTGTAATGCCTCACTTTTTTAGTTAGGATATATAGTCAAATTTTACTGCCTGAAAGATGCTTGTAGCTTGTACATAATATTTGGGTTGCTTCTAGTAAAACTATTCTTTTCTTTATTTCAAATTTTCCAAAGAATTGTGTTTATACCATGCTTTTAAATGCAAAAAGTGGAACCAATATTTGTGTTAATTTTGTTCAAGCTAAATTTTGCAGCTTAATTGTGTTCAAGCTAAATTTTGCAGCTTTTATTTATGGTGCAAATTAAATAACTGTAGATCATCTGCTAAGATATAATGTAAAAAATGTCACATGTAATTCTAAACTTGTTTGAAATAAATAGGAATAATAAGAAGGTACATCATATGGAACTACACTATCATGCAAAAGATTAAGCAATACTGTAGGAAAATGCATTATCCAAATGATTAATAATTACAATAGTTTTGGTCAAAGTAATAATTACTTTCCAAGAAGAAAAGAAGAACTTTATTTTATTTATTTATTTGCTTTGTCAAGATAATAGGTATAAGTATAAACATGAGTAAGAATACAGAAAATAGGTACGAATAAATGAGGACAATAGGACAGGGACGGTAGGCACGATTGTGCACTTATGCACGCCCATTACAGACCTCTTAGGAACGGGGTGAGTTCAGTAGTGGATAATTTAAGGTTGAAGGAGTGGGGGTTAGAGGATGTAACTACAGAGTCAGGTAGTGCATTCCAGGCATTGGCCACTCTGTTGCTGAAGTCATACTTTCTGCAATTAAGTTTGGAGTGGTTAACATTGAGTTTGTATCTGTTATGTGCTCTTGTATTGTTGCGGTTGAAGCTGAAGTAGTCATTGACTGGTGGGACATTGTAGCAGATAATTTTGTGTACTATGCTTAAGTCCAACCATACGTGGCATAGCTCAAGGTTGTCCAAGCGCAAAATTCCAAGCCTGGTGATATAGGGTATTCTGTTGTGAGCAGAGGAATATAGTACTCTTCTCGTGAAATACTTCTGGACTCGCTCAATTGTAGTAATGTCCAATATGCAGTGCGGATTTCAGACCGATGAAGTATATTTGAGTATTGGTCTAGCAAAGATTTTGTATGCCCTAGTTAGCAATTCTATATTTCTGGAGGAGAAGCTTCGTAAGATTATATTTACAACTCTTAATGCCTTTTTGGCAATGCTGCTACAGTGAGCTCCGGTGCTTAGATCGTTAGATATGAGTACTCAGAGGTCCTTCATAGAGTGAGGGTTGTAAATGAGATCATATCTGCTTAGCTTGTATTTGGTGTACTGATTTTTTTTTACCAATGTGTAGGACAGAGCATTTGTTGGTTGAGATTTGGACTTGCCAATTGTTTGACTATTCAGATACACAATCAAGGTCACTTCGAAGGACAGTAGCATTGTTGGTAGTGTTGAATAGTTTTACACCATCCGCGAAGAGGATGCAGTTGCTTATAAGGTGATCGCAAAGTTCATTTATATAGAGTATAAAGAGTGTGGGTCCTAGAACACTGCCCTGGGGGACACCGCTGTTAACTGGAGCAGGGTTTGATAGGGTGTTTTCTATTTTTACTATTTGTTGCCTGTTTGACAGGAATGCAGTAATCTACTTATGAAGGGATCCGGAAATGCCGTAAGAGTTTAGTTTTAACAGTAGTTTGTCATGTATCTCTGAATCCAAGGCTTTGCAGAAGTCTATGTAAATTGCGTCTATAGCTTTACCCTGGTCAAGTAGAGCAGTGTTTTTGCAGTGTAGGAGTTGTAGATTGAAGGACAATTTTTTCCTGAAACCAAATTGTTTTTTGGAGGGTAGGTTGTTTGACTCTAAGTGAAGGGTGATGGATTGATTTATGATTGATTCCATGACTTTGCACATGACACAATACAGTGAGATTGGTCTGTAGGTTTCAACCAAGCTGGGGTCACCTTTTTTGAAGATAGGGATGACCATAGCTAAGGATCATAGGTTCAGTAAGGAGATGGTTCTGAATGATATCTCATATATAATGAGGTTCTGCTATGACAGAGGAGAGCTTTTTAAAGAAGTATGCATAATCCACTTATAATTATATAATATAACTTATAATAATTATAACTTAATAATTTATATGTTATAAGTTATAATAATTATAACTTATAATTATATCTATGAGACTAAGATATGTAAGTTACCTCTTTGCTAGTGATACAAAAGAACATATTCCAGGCTTAAAAGAAAAAGAAAAAAGTAACATTTTAAAGTTTATAGAGCATAGATCAAGCACCCTTGTATATTTAGTTTCTAACGATGACATTTTGCATTCCTGCAGGTATTAAAACAATGGGAAATGCAGAGAGCCAAAGTGTAGAACATCAATTTTATGGTGAGAAACATGCTAGTTTGGGCCGAAAGCATACATCACGTTCTCTTCGTCTTTCAAACAAAGCAGCACGGCGGACCAGACATGCATCCTCAGGAAAAATTATTCACAGAAACTCAGAAGTAAGCACAAGATCTAGCAGTACTCCCAGCATCCCTCAATCACTAGCAGACAATTGCCTGGAGTCTTTTACTCAAGAATCCGATTTAGGGGATTTTGGAAGCCCAATCTGGGGGGACAGAATGGATATGGGCTTGAGGCCAGTTTCTTACCACACTGATTCTTCTGTCACTCCAAGCATGGATAGCAGTTCAGCCCTTATGACAGCCTCGGTACAAAGCATGCCAGATTCAGAAGGCGGAAGACTTTACAGAGACGAGTCAACATATTTGACTGAAGTAGGTGGTAGGCAACATTCTTATTCAACAAATGGGACCACATTTTTGGAGCCTATGATTTTCAAGAAAAAACGTTCAAAGTCTGCAGATATCTGGCGGGAGGACAGTTTAGAATTTTCTCTGTCTGATCTTAGTCAAGAACATTTGACAAGCAATGAAGAGATCCTAGGATCTCCTGAAGAAAAGGACAGTGAGGAAACTCCAGGGAGAGAACCTAGTAATAGTCGTCAACCATTGGTCACATGCCAGCGTGCCAATTCCATGAGTGACTTGTATTCTCCTAAAAGTTCAACTGTTACAATAAATGGTGGACCACGTAACATGCTAGGAGGTTATTGTCGGAATATAGGGTCTCATATCCCAGATATGGAAAACCACAAAATATCACCAAACACAATGGATAATGTGTCCTCTTATAGTACTTACAACACACTTCCCTGTCGGAAATCTCATTGCCTTTCTGAAGGAATCAGTCACATCAAAATGAACCACAGCAACAGTATGCATGGCAGACGAGCAAAAACAACGCAGGTAAGAAGCCTGTATATTCTTTCAACATAGACAAATACCAGGTTGGCTGATAACACTTTTACTTAGATAACGTCAGGTAAGTTATGTTTAGTTTCAGATCCTTTATAGGTAATAAAAGGGCAATATAGATATTGATGTTTAAAAGAGAACTTTGTTTTCCAACACTTATCTTACATTTAAACTTTTCCGAGAATAAGACTCTCAAAACATCCCTGATGGTAATTGAACTTAAGCTGAATGAATAGTAGAGAACAGCAATTCCCAAACTAGTATTTTTCAGATACACTGCAATTAAATCCCAAATTTCTCAGCTGGGTTGGCCAAAGGAATGTCCCAACAAATGTAGAAGACATTTATGTTGGCTAGTTCAAAGGAAGTGCATTTTCACTCCATGAAAAATTCCTGAATGGTGAAAAAAGATCACCTGCTTAATTATCAGTAAATACAAAGTCCATGATGCTTGTATTTTACTACTAATGTTGGAAGAAGAAAATTGTCCTCTTTTACTGAAAATTTTTTTACCCTATTATACAGTAATTGTTCATGGAGTGAAATAGTGCTGCTACTCATGCTTCCTGTTTTTTTTAAAAAATTTTTTTAAAAATAAATATGCTTGAAAGGGAATGAAACAATATAGAAGTCACACTCATCAAAGCTGATTATTACAAAAATCAAACAAATCTTGTTTTTTTATCAGAAGTTTTATATGATGATTGCCTGATAAGATTTCCAGCAGTCCATCACTTCCTGATGAACTGTTTCTCCTTGCAAACTATTAAGCTTTCAGTCAACTTACTTTTAAACTAAGAGCACACATCTGTATTTGATCAATGGAAGGACTCTGGGAATTCATTCTTATTCTAGACCTGCAATATGAATTAATAGCCAAATGTAAAAAAAAATTTTTAGAAGCTTTTGTAAGCAATATTGATTGCCGAACCTAGAAAAGAAGAGAAACATAGAGCTGTCTTCCATTTTTAATAATTTCTATTAATTCCTTTTATCTTGACAGGTTAACATTTTCAGAAATAGTCATTTCAAATATGCATTTGTGCTGTAAGTTTTGCTTTGTATTAACATTTTTCAATGTTCTGGGTTGAAATGGTATATGAACTAAGGAGTTAAAAAATGAAAAAAATGATATTCCATGCAGTTTATGATCAACCTGCAACTCTTCCAATTGGAATATTTCCCCAAAATATCCTTTGCAGAGTACAGATTTAAGAAATAAGTGCTATGATAATCTTGGTATAATGTTCTTCGGTAATCTCTAATTGCTTTCCTTCAACATTTGATGTGAAATGTAGTCAGTGGAGTTAAACAGAATAGTCCAGGAAAACAACTTGAACATATATGTCAAGACTTGGTGCAATTTCCTAATATTCTGATTTTCTTATATTTTCAACCATGATACTGGGAAGGCTTCAGTGGTCCTGTGAATAACAGTGACAGGAACATGAGGAACCCTGGTGGGGTCATCATACAAGCTTGGTCAAAGCTTGGTCAAAAAGGAGAAGTATGAAGCTAAACGAATTAACAATCAGATGAGGGCAAATGGGAGGGAAGATAATAAACGTAGGAAATAGAGCTCCAGAATCAAACATGGAAGAAAGCAAACCACTTTTGTGTTGTTGCTAGGAGAATAGTATTGTCATGGCTATAACATTACATGAGTTTAAGTGCCAAAGGGATTCAGGCATCAGTGTTCTTCTCCTCTGCTTCTCATTATTATTATTTACATGTATTATTTATAAATTTATTATAGTCCACAGCCATAGACTCTGGATAGCTTACAAATAAATATGCAAATAATAGAATGCATTAAACACACACAACCCATTGGCAACCAAGACTAAAACGATCAAACAATAACAAACTAAACCAACCAAGATCCTCACCAACATAATAAACCCAGTCCTGAGACCAAAGCTAGGTATTAAGTGCTTTTCAGAACACTAGGAGATAAGTTTCTGTCTGTATCTCTTGAGGGAACACTGTTCCAGAGGGTGGGGTTTGTGACAGACAAGGCATGCTTCCTTCTCATAAGATGACATCATTGATTAAAGGGGTCCTGGAGCATTCCCACTCTGCTGGAATGTGCCAGATGAGCAGAAACAGTTGGAGATAGTTACTGGGGAAGAGCATTAAAATTTCATGAGCAGATTTAAAAATGATTCGGAATAGGGAAGGAAGTGAGACAAGGATGTGTTTTATGCTATATGTCTTTAATTTAAACAACAAATATGAGTGATAGAATCTGGAGAAATGGTTTCTGGAATCAAAATTAGATACCAAACCACTATCAACTGAGATCTGCAAATGTTACCATATTGTTAACTAAAAGCTTAGAAAGCTAGAAAATTCTCATTATTAAAGTAAAAACAAAGAGGAAAAATCTTGTTTTAGCATTAAATATTAAGAAGATAATGTTGATGTTAACCAGCACACACACACTATGGCTTCTATTTTGGTTGCAGTAAAGCCATTTATTGTTGTTCCTGTGGGTTTTGCCATTAGTGAATTCCTTAGTCTTTTAATGTTGAAATTTATTGATGAACCAGGGCACGAAGTCTGGCACTTAGTGAATTTACAATTTATAGGAAACAAGTGAAAGTGTAGCATTTTTTAATAGAACAATCTTGGAATGTCAGTAGAAGATTATATAATGCTAGAGAGGAAGATAATCACAACTTAGACAAGATCGCGAAGGATAAGAATATTATTACAACAAAATTCAAAATAGTTAAGGCAAAGTTTTAACTCTAGTGATTATATGGTTGTAGAAGCTAGATATGGAGAAAACTAGACAAAAGCGATATCTTTCAGTTATTCCAGTATGTAGGTAATTTGCTAAGAGTAATAAGAGTACCATGCCTAAAAGAAGAACCAATCAGAAGCAAAATAAATGCCAGTTGAGGCAACTATCAGTAAGCAGAAACTCACATACTTTGCTATGCATTTGGAAAACTATCTACCTTTGGCATAGGAGAAGGAAAGGGAAGATTCTGGATATATAGAATCATAGAGGTTATTGGAATATTCTTAGAAGGGCCCTGGATTATTACTAGAGACAAATTGAGATGACATTTGCCTATACAATTATCAAGTCATCTGCCTCAGCTTGGTAGTACCAAACTACCCATATGTGACAGGGAATATAGACTGCATCTTATGACCTGGAAAAGGAGAAAATCTGTATATTAAAATAAAATGGTGGTAGGGTAGTGGGGTGAGAAATCTCTAGATTGGCGTCCAGATTCCTTTGGCAAGGCAGCTCTCCTAAGTGCTATTCAGTTTAAGAGTTTTAAACATCCTGCAAAGTGCTTGGAATCTGCAAAGAGAATGCATTAGACAGAGAAACCCACTGAGTAATGAAAATAAGTCTAAACAAACAGAGAATTTGGACAGGAAGGAGGGAACACATGTCTCCATTGACACTGAGGCAGCTGGAGGTGGGTTTCTGGATTTGTTGCCTGTGCTTCATCTAAGAAGATGTGCTGCTTCTATATATAACTATGACATTTTGAAACAGATGCTGCTGTTTTCACAGCAGAAGTTCTGTAGCTTAAAAAAAAATCATACCAACCTTTCTTTTCTTTTTGAGGTTATTTATCCAGGACAGATCAAAAGTCTGGTTAGAGATCGGAAAAATCCGAAAAATCCTTATAGATATCCACCTTGGTGTCTGCTCGGCTATCTTCTCCTTGGACTAATTTTTAAAATACTGTTCACTTAAAAATAGAAAGGAACATACTGCAAAATATGGTGCCACCTTTTAACACTTTTTTTTAAAAAAAAATCTGAATTGCCTTAAATCCACATGTGCCCCATGGGCATTTTTAAAAATAAAAACAATAATAATGAACGACTGCAGCCCACTGCTTTCTGTAGAGGTGTATCTGTTTGGTCAGAAAAAAACAAGCTGGAGGATACAGCAGAGCACACCAGTGAGTCCGGAGCAAAATCCTTCCTTTATGGCCATGTGCATGGCATTATAATGTAGAAGAGGGCCAGTGGCTTGTGTTATAATATCATGATGCTGCTTGCATCACTCTGGCTCCCTTTGTTCTCCTCCTCTTGTCATTGCTGCTCTAGAGAGGGCCAGGGAGCTGCATCAGTTTGCCTTCTGATAAATTTATCTTTTATGATAGGCCAGACTCAGTCAATAGAGTTTCCTCATAGCAACCGTTTTGTTGGCATTGAAAGAACAATCTCAGAACTCCAAAAGATTATTTCTGAAATAATGCTTTTTACTACTATCACAAAAGATGTCCAACACAGAACATAAAAAAAAAGCTTGTCTTGAAGCATATCTAGTAGTCTTTTTTAAACAGAACACAGAATAACAGAATCTTGTAATGTTATCCATTGGGAATAATATGAAACAGTTCAAAGCAGATTTGTTTCTCTACATTGACTAAAAATTATAAATCTGAAAATGAAGTCTAATTTCAGTAGGCAATTATTCTATGATGTGCTTTCAGTAGATCTTTATTCCTAGGCTTGTCTTTCAATTCTGGGCTGTTCTAATATGTTCTTCTGATATTTTGCAGTTTATTCTAGAAAAAAAGAAAACAGAGTTAGAAATCTGAATGCGCTGACATTTCCCTTTGTTCTAAGTTACAGAAAGGTAATAAATAAAGAGATGACTAAAAATCATAGCTTTCCTCAGAATGATTAGATCTACATATTATTTTCATATTTTCTTCAGATGTGCAGAAAACTGATCCATCATATACCGAATCTGTGAGGTAGATGATTCATTAGTCAAACTTGCTTCTAGAATAAAAAAATTCAGCTGAAATGCTGCAAATAACCTTTACAAGTTATACAAACCTAGTCCCTAATTTCCCTGAAAGTATATACAGGCATATGAAAAATCCTTGTGGCTTAAAAAAAAGGATTTAGTTTCCTTTAGTTAATTTAGAGGTTAAACATGAGTATAGATTTTGAGAACTGGAGTGCTTTTTGAGTGCTCTGAATGTGATTAACATCTAAAA